GAGCCCAGGTTCCGAAGTAGCCTCTCAATAAGGAAGGTTTGGGGCTTAGGGTTTAGAACCCAGTAGCCCCTGACAAATAAGGGTTTAAGGTTTAGGGTTTAGGGGACCCAGTAGCCCCCGACAAATAAGGGCACCCCTTGTTCCTACCATTCGGTTTTAACCGCAGTTTTGTGCCCGAATCCAGCCTCGAACGATCAAGCGCCAGCACAAACCCTGATATAGGGGCCTCGTTTTTTTAGAACAGGGTGTTAGGCCGAGGGTATAGTATACAAAAGCTGTATAAGCACCTTTAAGGACTGTAAGCGCCGTCTTTTTGTTTCTCAGACCTACATGAAACCCAAACCTCTAGCCCGATCTCTCGAGTTGAGCCCCCGACTGGCAAAACAACATCGGCCTGAGTTGGGAAGAGCTACGGGAAATGGCTTAGGTGAGTTTGAGCGTTGGGGGCTTAGGGTGTAGGGTACGGTTCAGGGGTGCCGTGGGTGATAGGTTTGGGCCTGCTGGAGCAGCAATTCTAAACGCTAAATACACCCTAAACCGCAAACCCCAAACCCCAACTCAAACTCTAAACTCTAAACCAAACACGCAAAACCCTAAATCCCAAAGCGTAAACCCGACCTCAGCAAAAGACCGGTACGTGGCCTATCGGACGTGGGGGCTCGAGGTCTCCGCAACCCTTTCCCAGAGGGTCGGTTTAAAGTTTAGGGCTTATAAGACGGTTTAGGGTTTCGGTTTTAGGGTTTAGGGTTTAGGGTTTAGGGTTCAGGGTTTAGGGTTTCGGTTTTGGGGTTCAGGGTCACTACTACTATGGAAATAAATCACAACAACCATCATGAGGATGGCCTTTGGTGACCTAACTCCATAACGGCTTCATATACAGACCCCCTGGGTTCTGGCTAAGCCGGTGAGCAAACTCCCTGAAGAATTGGAGTAGGGTTTTCCCTAATCTAAGGGTCCTTATTGCATTGACGGGTTGCTTGGGTTTAGGGTACAACGGTTCTGTCAAAAGGGGGCCCTTAGTGGGTAGAGCAGGGTCGGCCTTCACGGCTCTGTAGGCTTTTACCCTAAACCCGAAACCCCGAAACCCTAAACCCTGAACTTTTGCCCAGTTTGGGTTTAGACGAAACCCTAAACCCGGAACCTTTCGCTTTGAGGATTTTCCGGCGCTGCGGCCCGGGCTCTCGAAATCCCAGGGTCTCTGGCGAAGGCTCGAACCCTAAACCCCTAAACCCTAAACCCTAAACCCTAAACCCTAAATCCTAAACCCTAAACGCTAAACCCCAAGGGTTTAGGCTTCAAATTCAAGACTTCGGGCGTGGGACTTTGGGCCTCAGGAACTCCTCCTAAACTGTTTTCAAGAGCCCTAAAGATCCCGAAAACCCTAAACCCTTGGAAGCCGAGAGACTTCCTTAAACCCTAAACCCTAAAGCCCTAAAACCCTAAACCCTAAAGCCCTAAAACCCTAAACCCCTAAAACCCTAAAACCCTAAACCCCAAAACCCCAAACCTTCTGAGCCCAAATCCCCCAAAATGCTCCGTGAAACCCTTCGATCTGCATTTTCACTTGGCACGAACCGCCCACAAAGCCTGAGAACCTGTGGCCAAAGAGCCCCAAAGCCCCATCAATCAAAGCGACTTTTTGGGTTTGTCTTGCTTTAAGGGCCCTTTTCCCTCACTTTTTGGGGTTTAGGGTTTAGGGTGTAGGGACGGACATTTATTGTGGGTAGAAAAATACTCCTTAGTTAAAGGGGTCTTGGGCTCTCTGAGAAATCCGCAGCCACCTGAACCCTGCAATGAGGTCGCCGCAATCATGGGGTAGCATGTCGTGGCTGATGAAGCGCCTCAAGTTGGTGACTGTTTCAGGGCTTAGGGTTCCTGGGCGGGTTCAGGGTTCAGGGTTCCTATAAGAGTTTAGGATTTAGGGTTCCTACAAAGGTCTAGGAGTCTAGGGTTCAGCGCCGTAATATAGGGCCTCAGAAAATGAATCGAAAGGTTTTGCAGTGTATTCTGCTGCCGCTATATGGGGACCATAAGTGGATAATATTATCCATCATACGAACTTCGATGTGAACTTTTCTATACAACAGCCCACAAAAGACGGAGCTTGACAGGGTATCTGCTTCACCCTATAAACCGCAAGCCGGTAATCTCTGCTGCCCGCCTCTCTTTCCAGTCACGGGGACGCGCTTCTTCGGCCCGCAATTGCAGCGGAAACCACAACCGGCACAGTATTGCCTCGGCTTTGTAACGGTCCTAACGGTTTGCATAGCGGTTCTGCAAGCGTTCCATAAAGGCTCTGTTCTCTTACTTAAAGGTTCATGGGACTTAGTAACTAGGGTTATAAGAATCTAAGGTAATTACACTTATAACTACTTATAACCCCAATCAAGGTACATATAACTGTACTTTTTAAGTCCAATGAACCTCCAAGCAGGGTTCCAAAAAAAGCTGGGGCTTTCAGGGGCTTATGTGGGTTTTTAGGGCTTCTGTAAACCGTCAAGGGCCTTTTTGGGTAGCCGGGGTTACAGAGCAAACAGGTTTCGTCCTTTAGGGTTTCGGGTTTAGGGTTTAGGGCTTTGGGTTTAAGGTTTAGGGCTTAGAGTTTAGGGTTTAGGGTTTTTGGTCGGATACCCTAAAGACGTGTAACCGTGCTCCCAGTTAAACACCTCAAATTTTCTAGCCCCATCAAGCCGCGTACACGTGTTAAACCCCTGTAAACTGTTGAAAAACATTTTAAACCCTCTAAAAACCCACTAATCTGGCCAGTTCAACCTTGCATCGAGCCAGCTACATGTAGGACTCATCTCACACTTACGACCAGTAGCGACAATCTAGCGTCCAATACAGGGTTTCGGCCAACCCCCATCGAACTTACCAAACATATCCTATGCTTCCAAGGACCTTGTAGCTAGGGCCCAAGACCCTTAAGGACCCAATACTGAGGTTCCTGGAAGCATAGGGATTTTTGATCCGTTCCGTGGCCCGAAACCCGTGCAAACCCTGAACTGAAAACAAAACCCACGCTTTGAACCCAGTATCCCTCTCTAAAATCCTCTTAAACCCTAAGCAAGGCTCCCCAAACCCCAAACCCTAGACTCTATAGACCCTAAGCCGTAAGAACTAAAGCCTAAACCGTCAACCCTAAACAGGGCTCCCAAAACCCTTAACCCCAAACCCTAAACCCCCCTAAAAACCCCAAACTGGGCTCCGGGCGCGTGGTATTGGCAGCGCACGATGCCGCTGGAGCGGCCCGCGCCGCGCCGGCCCTGTAGATCCTTTCTAAAAGGTGTGTTTAGGGTCATCTAAGCCCTGAATCCTAGTTGTAAGGATCCTAAACAGCTAGAGCAAAACAACAAACGACAGTAAAACCTTTGGATCCCCATTTCCAGAAAAGATAGACCTAAACCCTAAACCCTAAACCCCTCTCTATTTACCCCTAAACCCTAAGCCCTAAACCTCTACTAACCCCTATTAACCCATAAACCATAACTCTCACCCTTAAACCCTAAACCCTAAACCCCTACAGACCTCTATTAACCTCTATTAACCTCTATTAACCCCTATTAACCCCTATTGAGCCCGAAACCCGAAGCCAAAGCAGACTCTGCCTCGGCTACGTCCTCCATGCCGCCTGCACCTCGCTCGGGAGCTCTGGGTCTGTTTTGGGTGCACTGACGGGTTCTTCAGGGGTTTAGGGTTTAAGGGTTTAGGGTTTAGAGTTTAGGGTTTAGGGTTTAGGGTTTAGGGATTACTTGGGGTCTGGGATTTATAGTAAAATCTGTTACAAAGGAATGTTTCGCAAGGGCTCTCAAAGCATAGTCTCTCTGCAGCCCAAGCAGCCGAACGATGCAAGGAAGGCGGCGAGGGATGCCAAATCTTGGCATGCCAGGGGCCTCGAGACAAACGAGGAACTAGCTGCGAGTTTCAAAAGGACCAGCAGTGATAGGGTTGCGTCGGGGTGTTGTTATATTTGTGTAAATATATTCCCCAAAGCCTTTGTAACTATCACGGCCCCTATATTAGTTAGCATCTACCATTTCCATTTTCTAACCATGCCCCACCCCCTAGCACCCAAATCATAACAACCTATACCTCAACCCTAACCTCACCCAAAATCCCAACCTAAGACCCCCAAGATGGAACCGCTAAAAGACTCATACACCACCACATAGAAAAAACCCAACCTCAACACCGTACACCAATACCCCCATAGAAAAACCCATATTCCCCAACCCGAAATCCCTAACTCTAGAAAATGGAAATGGTATTCTTAAGTATTTTAGCTACAATAGCTATAATGTTTTACCATTTCCATTTTCTAACCATGCCCACCCCCCTAGGCCACCCAAGACCCAAAACCGTAACAACCTATACATATGGGTCTTTCGGGGTGTTAGGGTTGAGGTATAGGTTGTTATGGTTTTGGGTCTTCAGGTGGCTCTTTACCTAGGGTACTACCTATGGGTTTTTCGGGGTGTTAGGGTTGAGGTATAGGTTGTTATGATTGGGTGAAAAGGGGGGGTGCATGATTAGAAAATGGAAATGGTCATCACTAACTAAAAGAAGGCGCCACCCTTGTTAAAAGGATCCCTAGATTAGAAACTACCCATCTGCGGGGCCCAAGCACTGCACTTGAACTTGGAGTGTCCCACATTTAGGGTTTTAGGGTTCAGGGTTTTAGGTTTTCGGGTTTAGGGTTTCGATTTTAGGGTGGTTTTAGGTTTTTGGGTTTTAGGGTCTAGGTTTTAGGGTTCTGGGCCGAATCGTAGGCAATTGGTGCTACAGCTTCAAGATAGTTGGTCTACACCCGGTACTTTGCTCACCCTTCTAGACCCTTGAAGACGATCCTGAACCTGAAATAACCTTTACGCCCGCATGAACCTTCATAAAAACTGCTGCAGAACCCGTAAACCCTACAAAGCACACCTATAAACCCTACACCCTAAGCAACCCGACACCCACAAACCCTACGCAGAGCTTCTGTGCACTGGGTTTGGCAGGCGTTGGAGTCGCTTCGAAGCAACAAGGCTTGCAGACCCTCCGGGGTTCTTCCTTGGGTTCTGGGTTTAGGGTTTAGGGTTTAGGGTTTAGGCTTGCAGAAAACCCCGGAGTTCTTCCTTGGGTTTTGTAGTATCCTTCAAGTACCCTTATGGGAGTTTCCCACAATCAGGGTACCTTATTCTGGGGTGCTTAAAATAAGGATCCTACTATTTAGGGTACTCTAGTAGGGTCCCCTATTTTTGGTAACCCCCTTATAGGAATCCCGTAAACTCCCAAATACTGGGTTCTGGAGTACCATACTTTAACTTGTTGTTCGGACCTGTTCCTTAAAGGAAACATTGTATGAAACAGAAGTCCAGACATGTTGTCTCCTTGCTTACTTTAGGGTTTTAAGCTTTTTGATTTAGGACTGTTCGGTTCTAGGGTTTTTGCTAAAAGACTTCAGGGTTCAGTTTGTTGGTTTGTGGTTTAGGGCTTTTTGTGTATTGTTTAAAGTTTGGGGTTTTGTGCGGTCGTATAGTACTCCTTGATTTTCATAGCCTTTACATCGCGTTACGTTCCGGAGCATGATGCTACGGGTTTATACAAGGCTCTCTGGTGTTTCGTTTGTTTTTAAACTGGTGCTCTTGCAAAAAGGAACTTGATTTGAAGTGCTTTAGGGTGTTATCGGGGCTTCTCGTTGTTCAGAGAGTTCTATTGAATAATTTTGCTGAAAGTTCCAGAGTAGGGGTACAGAGTGAGTTAGGGTTTATGGCGTAGGATTAGAGTGAACACTAGGCGTTCCTGCCTATAGTATCTGAAGTTCAGTTCCTTAGCAACAGAGGCCACAGGCTACGGCTCAAGAGCGCAACTTGGTTCCAGAAGTCAGGAAACAGTCCATTGCATTGCTTGCGCTGAGCGTTGTGGTGGTTGTGCGACCTTGTCGTCGTAGATGGGATACAGGTATGTCGTGGTTACACAAAACACGTGTCGAGGCTTAAAGAACCCTTTTCAAGCATTGTAAGTACACCCTCTCGCTGAATTAGAGCCACGGGTCCGAAAGCGCAAAAGCAAAACCCCTTTCAAGTGCAACACGGTTGATGATACAAATCCGCATTACCTTAAGGACCAAAAACTATGGAACTTATGGTCTATTCCTGATTATGGGTAATGCAGGGTTTATGTCATCAACCGTACGTCTGGGTTTTCAGTGCAGCACAGCCTTGTTGTGCTTGGCGAAAGTTTCCACCCTGTGGCTAAAGCTGCGGCGGGCTTGACTGCATAGTCAGCACTAAGTTTCTTTAGGGTTCCCAAATAATTTTGTAGCATTGAACATTTAATCAAATCCTCCAAAACGCTAGTCTAGCCAGTCGGCCGGGCCTGCATATTGCAGAACAGAACCCAAAACCCTAAACTGCTAGGCCCTGCACCCTAAAGCCTAATTATGCCTTATACATCCAAAAGCCTAAGCCCTACACCCGAAACCCTCAATGCCCTAAACCCTGCACCCTACCTTAAGGACCAAGTGACCCTTAAAAGTAGGGGCCCTATACCCTTACACCATGAATCCCTATAGGGTATATGAACCTGAAGCCCTTTTAGAGTTCTTTTTGTCCTAATTAAGGTAAATCCTAAGCTGCGAAACCAGGCCGAATACCTGGAGGCGAAGCTTGCTCTTCTGAAGGCCCGAAGTCGCTGGACCCTAAACCTTTAAGGGTTTGTTTTAGGGCTTATAGGGTTTTGAGGGTCAGGACCTACCTTAAGTGATCATAATGTACTTGTTCGGAGGTTCCTATTACAAGCCCTAACATCTAACTGGGTTTAGGGTAGTAGTTCTGTAGGTTAGCATTTGGGAGAGTATATGGTTATTCGGGCACTAGGACACTTAGCATAAACCCTAAACCTTCATAGAACCCTTACTGCAGGAAAGAATCTAAGAAGAACCCTTAACGCAGCCATTCCCTTAAACTCCACGCCAGAAGCCTAAACCAAGCTCTCAAGGTTCCTTCAGGGGCTCCGTTGAGAGGGTTTAGGGTTCAGGGTTCCGTAGGCTGTATAGGATTTTCTGGAGGGGTTCTAGTAGGGTTTGGGGTTCAGGGTTTAGAAGCCTCAATTATTGGGTGATACCATTCCCTACGGATCCGCTTTGTGAGTACGGCATGTTTTGCTCGTTACAAACCTGTTTTGTTATATTAAGGCGCCTGCACTAAGCGCTCTCACCACTGACCCCATGCCATAGACTAAGATTCTAATCCCAACACTTTGCTGGGCTAGAAACTGAACCCCAGCCTCAGGCAACATACAGAAGCTTGCTTCGATGAGCCGTAAACACTCAGCTTCCAACCCTCAACCTACCACTTCAGAAGACTCGGGATCCCACTCTAATTCAGGGGCATGAATTACATTTTTTTCCTTTAACGGGTTGGGGTTTAGGGTTCCTTAATGTACTTATTTCGTATTGTAACCTTATACCAGAACCCAAAGCCTTGTTCTAGTTACCAAGGCCTCTACATTCGACACTGTTGAACAATGGAGTCCACACTGCACAGAGCCATGCAGCGGAATGTAGACAGGACTCATGATTTGGATTCAACCTGGCATTCTGTGGAGCTCTGGCACTGGCCTGAGCCCTTAACTTGAAACCCTAAACCCTTAACCCTAACCCCCTGAACCCCTAAACCCTAAA